TTTGACGGTGTTGGTTTGTTGGTTGGTTTGTTTGTTAGCAGCGTAGCTCAAAAAGTGCTGGCCGGATTTCATCGAAATTTTGGGGACAAGTCAGAAAGGGACTAACTTAGAACTGATTAAATTTTGGTGACATTCCGATTTACCGTCTGGACGCAGCAGCGGTGTAAGTACATCCAAAGTATATATATTATATACGCACCTTGGCGGAAGTCTGCACTCTCTGAGTGCTTTTCTAGTTACTATATTTGTTATTATACCTATTATTATCATTGCCATCATTATCATAATTGTTACCTCCGCCAAGGAGGTTATGTTTTTGACGGCGTTGGTTTGTTGGTTTGTTAGCAGCGTAGCTCAAAAAGTGCTGTCCGGATTTCATCGAAATTTTGAGGACAAGTCAGAAAGGGACTAACTTAGAACTGATTAAATTTTGGTGACATTCCGAATTACCGTCTGGACGCAGCAGCGGTGTAAGTACATCCGAAAGATAATCATGATATTTTTGGACTTGGCCGTGTCCCAGGTGTCACTGTGGATGCAGTAGCGGTGCAAGTACATCCGAGCGATAATTATGATGTTCGAAGTTTAGCTTTTTAATTGTGTATGAGGGCTATTTTTTTTTAACTTTAACCCCAAATTCTCACTGATATTTATTTTCCCGTAAAAATGTTTGAGACAAAATGGCCCTCATACACAATTGAAAGCAAACTGTTGCCTTTTAATTGTGTATGAGGGCCTTTTTTTTCTTTTTTGAAGAAACTCCGAGCTGTCTGATCCTTTTCATCCTCAACCAAAGTATATATATTATATACGCACCTTGGCGGAGGTCTGCACTCTCTGAGTGCTTTTCTAGTTATTGATATTGTTGGTATCGGCATGAATATTATCATCATTATTATTATTTTCATCATTATTGTTATTATACTATCACTATTATCATTATCATTATTATTTTTAATCGTTATTAATATCATATTATCATTATTATTATCATATTATCATTATTATTATTATATTATCATTATTATTATCATTATTATCATCATATCACTACTATTGTTCTTATTATCATTGTTCTCATTATCATTATTTTCAGCATGGTCATTATTATATTAGTATTATCATCATACTTACTGTTATTGTTGTTTTTATGTTTATAATCATTATTCCTGTTCCTATTATTATTATTGTTGGTACTATTATTATCATTGTTAATATTATAATTATTATTATTATTATTATTACTGTTATTATCATTATTACTGTGATTATCAGTATTACTGTTATTATCAGTATTACTGTTATTATCATTATTACTGTTATTATCATTATTACTGTTATTATCATTATTATTACTGTTATTATCATTATTATTACTGTTATTATCATTATTACCATCCTCATCATTACCATCATCATCATTACCGTCATCATCATTATCATGATTGTTATTATTATTATTGTTATTTATTATTTACTTACAAACATAATTTGGTATATAGAATACATAATAAGAATGGTATCAGGCATATAAACCATATATCATATATATTTTTTCTCTAAGTATTAATAAAATAGCTTTGTGATGAGGATAACTTTATTGGTCTGTGGGGATCACTATTACTTTTGCTATTTGTTCCAGGCATCCTGGCAAACCCACTGTACCATCCTTCCAACGAATTATTTGTTTGGGGCAGATCATCCTTCACTCGTTGATACATGTTTCAAGTCTGATTGGGAAAATTTCCAGGAATTTTCCTATCACCATAATTCTGCTGGCCAACATAGGTTTCTTGGAAATATTTAGTGAACTCCAGAAGCCCATCATTCTTGGAAATTTCGTCGGCAAGGAGTATCCTTATGTAGTGGTGGACGTCGACCAGCGGAACAAATTCCAGAGTCATGAACTTCCTGACCCAGATGGCGAAGGCAGCATCATCTCTATACCGTGCTGCGAGACCAAGATTCTGGAAGCGTCTCCAGACAGACTGGCCCAGTTGGAAATAGCATCCAACAATTTCTGCTCTCGGAAAATTCCTCTCGTTATAGATTTGGTGATGGAACGTAAATCTGTCATTATTGTCCCTGGATTGCATGATAAGCCAGGGGGAATAAGCTGTAACACCTAGTACATAGTCCTCGGGAACGTTGACTAGAGAAGGTGGAAGAGAGTAATTGTCACTCAACCCTTCATACGATGAAATATCGAGCTCGGGGTAGGGTGTTAAGGGAAGCTCCGTTTAGCAAGATATAGCTAGATAACCAGACATACCACACACGGCTGAAAGGAACGTAGAAACATAAGGTCAACTGTTCGCAGAGTGAAACCAGAAACGGAAGTTAGATCAATTAGTTCAGGTAAGGTCAGCAGACGACCAGGTTATATGAGGACTCCGGGCTGCTTGTATGTACCCACCTCGCTCAACACAGTCATCGCGACAAGGTGGCCGCCCGACATTGAGTCACCCCCGTTATACAAGTTTACGTTCTTCCTTCTAGG